ATATATCAGAGAAGGAGAGAGGCTAAATGTTCTTGGTGGGCGTAGTTTGCACAAAAGTGAGAGGGTTTGGTTACAAAATCGTTGGTGGAAGAAACTGCTGTTGGTGGCGTCGAAGTGGACGGAGTTTACCGAGGTTGGCAAGGAAGAAAATGGTGGGTGGGACATCATCGAAATTGAGGAGATTCATGAAGCAGTCTAGGGGCAGTTCGGTGACCGGAAAATAAAGCGAACAATGGTTGATGAAGGACGGAAGGTCGAAAGCCATCGGTGGATGGAGAATCGAGCAAAATCCTGCGAGCCAAATTTGAAAATATACGCCGCACCATTATGAATCGCTACTGAACAGTGTTATCCGCGAAACAGCACGCGACGCTAAGCAATATGAAATTCTTCCCTGCAGTTGCAGAAAATTTTTCCCGTGAGCTCGAACCTTGTACTTGTTACGGGTGATGACATTTTTGGGAAAACATGTGTATTTACTTCTAAGAATATTGGAAATGTTTCGGTGTCGGCCTTACCGCATTTATGCTTTTTTGAGTTCTTCAATTTTTTAGAGTGACTGGCGGTGAATTGTTCGAGGATATCGTTGCCAGAGAATTTTATAGCGAAGCAGATGCGAGGTAGGTTGTCGATATTGGTCTCAACTTTTTTGATGTTCCAAAAAGTGTTTGTAAGCGGTGTCATTAATGTGTCAATGCTAGGCGTGGAAATATTTCTGTCCCGAATCAAAGGGTGATGTGACGGCGCTGTCGTTAGCTTTTATCTGAAGTAACTTCAAATTACGTGGAAAAACTCATATAGCTTTTCTTACAAAAGGCTTCCCCTGGGCAATCATCCGTTAGGTTTTTCAGGGGGAAAGGCTCACTACTCTACGGGAATACGACTGACACTTTTTGTTGAGATGTTACGTTGTCAGTACTGTTCCTGTTAGGGACTTAGTTGCGCTCTGCTTGAAAGAGCTTTCAATATATTACAGGGTGGGGCAAATTACTGGTGCACCAATATTTTGTTGGCATTTCGAGACTAGCTTTCAGAAATCGATTCTAATCACGAATATTATTTGTAGAAAAGATGACAATTCAAAACATATTAACAGTTCTCAAAATGATCGCCTCTAGCCTTTACACAGTTCTTCAAACATTTTCATACACATCGTATAATGTATGCTATACGAACATTCCGTTTAGAGTTGACTCGGCAGAAACATACGCAAAGCGTTAGCAAATTCCGTGTTTTTATGCACACTAGCGTGAAAGTTCGCTCTCAAGTCGCTCAAACCTTCATATCTCTGTGGACAACACCACGTTGATGACAGTAATCAACGCCTTCCAGAACTTGCCAAATACAGTAGCTAAATACGCGTGATACTTGTGCTTCAATGAAAGAAGAGCTGTTGTTTTGTCATGGTATTGTATTAGGTTGATGCATAAATATTGCGGATTTTTTTGCGCCGTCTTTTTTCGAAAAGATTGGCGTTCTAATTTTTGTTTGTTCTCTTCTTCATGAAAATATTCTTCTTTCCTCGATTATGTAGAAATGCTTATCGAAATTATCTCCATACTACCACACTATTGCCTTACTACTTGAGAATGTATAGGGCGGGCGGCATTCCGATCCGACTTTTCGCGAGGGAACATTAGCAAAATGCCAAGATGGGAGATTAGTTCAAGAGGTTCAAAACGCCGCATTCACCGAGCGAAGCTCCCACTGACTAGCACTTCGTTCAGACGTTGAAAAATGGGCGAAACGAACAAATTTTAGGACAAGCTGGATGCGTTGGTGGCCAGTGTTAGAGCGTGGATCGTCTCCGAGAATCGTGACTTTTTTATCCGTGGAATCACCGAGAGAAAAGCAAATGGGAAGCATTCTTGTGGGATGGTGACCACGCTCCGGGGTTATTATTTAAACATGTTTTTGTTGAATAATTTTGTCGTTTTCGCTGAATAAAATCTGTTGGAAAAAGCCGCAATAATTATGCATCAACCCAATACATTTTAACAATTCTATCATCTTTTACCGCTAGAAACAGAATATTGAGCTTATCATTATCCAAAAATCCTAACCATAAGTCCGGGAAAGAATTTCCTACTGGCCAAGGAAACATCTATCCCTCTTTATAAATTCAAAACAGCGAAAACTGAAATAAAGCGCTGAATCCATTCGAAATGAGTCGCCTACTGAACATTTTCTAGTTATTATTTCATATCGTTTTTCAAGATTATTTCGTAGCCCAGAGGGATGATGACGTCTGGACCAGAGAATATGGCGTCATAGAGAATAGAATTGTCTTCAGAAGGAATCCCATAACAGTCACGTTCATTAATGGCAACGGTTTCTTCTGACACTTCAAGGAATCACAAGTACAGGGTAGGACAAAATTACTGAAGCACCTACATACAATCGGTTTTTGAATCTTGTTTAGACTTTCTCGTCGTTTGATTGGTTCATGGTATGTAGCTTGGACACGCTGCTACTAATACGCCCTGACCACAAAGTGGTTAGACCTTTCACTATGCGAAGTGCACTATTCAACTTCCAACAGAGCGCTATGCGAATCCGTTCTCGACGACTTTTCAAATTATCAAATTTTGTTCAAGCAGCGTTCAAACTCGGTATTTGTTCTAAACCGTGGGCGCCTTTACTTTGAAGAGGGTTACGGGTGAATTCACCAAAGAATTAGCTTCAGGACACTGACCGAGAGTGGTTCAGGAACAGTGCACAGAGCAAACCCTCAAATTCATCAGTTTTGACGAATGGCTCTCCAATTCTCGGGA